CCCAGGTACAGTTCAGTATTATCACACCCAGGTACAGTTCAGTATGACCCAGGTACGGTACAGTTGTTGCGGCCTGGCGTGGAACAGTTGTGCTCTCCCTGACTCCAGCCACTGGAACACAGTCACCCTCACCCTCTCCCCCAAGGTTACCAGCCCAGACCTGGGCCCTGCTATCCATTATCCTGTCAAAACACTGAGTTTCGAACCATAGTTTCCGGAAGACTGAGAAATGCCTTTAATTAAATCATCAGTAATCCCAACATCATTTCCTCAGACAGAAGTTAATTAATGCTTTGGAGGGCGATGCCTAACTCTTAATTAAATTATGGTTCTTTTAGTAAGACCTTTACTGACACTAAATTTATGACCACTATCTCCACTATCTGCTGCTCTGCGCTGACAGGAATTTGTCACTTTCACCTGAGTCCCACAGAGAAGGGGTGTAAAAGAGATTATAATGAATCTATCAATTTATACTTGTTTGTTTCTTTTTAAATGCCTTAATAAGCTACCTCTTGTAATTAGCACTGCAAGTATTAGCTTCAGTAAAAGCTACTGTTTCTACCATTAATATGCAAAGTATTTCTATTATATATTAATTTTAGAGGCAAATACAGATAACAACTTAATGGTATTAATCATATTACAAAATTAGTTGTATTTAATTAATTAAAGATATGTGCGGCAATTAATTATGTACTTGTACAATATTATCTTTAACTAATGAAGTCCTGACAATGAAAAGCTTACGAATTTAAAAGAGAAAGATTAGTAGAATCTCAATTGGTTTTAAAACAAAAGCATACTGAATGCACAGGCATTCTGTTAAACAGAATTTGTCTTTTCAGCAGTTTTGTCCTAAAAAAAGGAAAATGTTTCCATTGTTTTATTTCACTGTAAGACATAGTAATGATTAAAAAGATACATAGCTATTAGCAAGTGTTTTAATTAGCAGAAGAAGACATAATGAGTTTGTTAGTAATCTTCACTTATAGAAAAGCACAGACACATGAAAGGAAACTGAATGTGCAGGTTCTTGCAGCCACAGAAGCAAAATGATTGTATTGGTCTGAATTCTAACCCTCTCTGTAGTTATCAATCCACTGGTACAGGTGCTGTATGGGTCTCTTGACTGTGTGTAATCAAAGAAAGCAATAAGAAACTGAATAATTTATTTTTTTAGTTTATTTTTTGAAAAACAAGCAAATCAACCCATCTCACTTCCTTAGAATCGAAACTTAAACATAAAAGCTGAAGATGTCAGCAGAAACTATGGGGAAGTGGACACAGGCCTGAGAACAAGAGGCACATCTTCAGGCAAAGGGTTGTGGGAGTCTGGAACAAGATAAGAGAAGGATCACTTTATTGGCCATATACAATTTCTTGTATTAGGAATTTGTCTTTTCGCAGACCCCAGCTTGCTCTCCATGAGACACACAGACAGGGAGAGAAGCTGGGGGTCAGAGCGCAGAGTCAACCATTTATACAGCACCCCTAGAGCAGCTGGGTTTAAGGGCCTTGCTCAGGGGCCCAATGGAGTAGAGTTTCTCTGCCAGCCAGTGGATTTGAACTGGCAACCTTCCAGCCACAGGTGCAGATCCTTAGCCACAGAGCCACTGCTCCACCCCGAAGTGTGTTGTACTGTGGAAGCTAGTGGAAACTTGTACTCTAGCTTCCTTTATTAAACAGCCAGACAGGGTCCTGGGAACAATTAGCTACAAGCAACCCACTGAGCGTGACAGGCTAAATGCCATGTGCTTCCTTGTCACCTTCCTCATACTGTCATAACTAAACCCAAAAGATGCTGCCGCTAGACGAAAAGCCAAAGAGGAAATTTCCTGCAACTCTGGCCTCTTGGATTGAAAAGCTTTTTGATGCAAGTGGGAGCTGTCCTGTAATCACATCTCATTCTGGTTATCCAACTGCACAAGGCACATCTGCTTCCTGCTTTCGATGCAGAGCCAAATAATCTCAGAGTTACCTGGCGCTGTTGTGTTTGTGTTTGTCAAATTCTGATGCAGGGCAGATTAAGGCGTTGGGTCTATATACAATATTGCACTTCCAGCAACACCAGTACCACCCAGAAGGTGATGTGGCACTCAGACCAGGTGATTGGCTATTTAACGTCTTGGCTGAAGAGTGGGTAAAATCCTTAAATGTGCCCTCTGAGCTCTAGAATTGACTTTCTAGTGTTTCTTGACACCATTCCAAAGGCACACATATCTCACACCTAGAAAGATTCACTGACTCAGAAACTAATATATACATTTATAATCATTTTATGGTCAATTAAAACAGTAATCCATTAGGAATTATTTTTGACAGCTTAATATCATATTAGTCTTTTAGATTTTTTTCCCATTTAACGGATCATATACCAAACACATTTATTGTGCATAAATCACAGTTTTTCCACCTGTCCAAAAAGTAGCAATTCAAATATGTCACATTTTGTGGATAAAGTTTTTCTAGGAAGATAAAAGCATTTATAACCTTTACTTAGTGAACTCAAGTGCTTTTCGGTTTCCTTGGAACATTCAGATTTGGAATTTTTCGTGACTCATGCGTTTGCTTGTGTAGAAAGTAAAACACAGCATCATTGTTTCTAAATCATTTCTTTTAATATAAAGGAAGCTGCAGGAATTGTAGGGCGTAAATCAATGGAATTATAATTGCAGGAAATCAATAGAACTATAAACATGAAATTATCATTTTAACCCCAATTTCTAGTTCAAATGAAAAAGCAATAGCTTTGATCGCGTTTTGTTGTGTGGTGCTGGGGACACTGCAAATATGTGGCAATGCATTAAGTCAATCTAACAAGCTGCAGTGTTCTTTTGGTCAATTCACAGAATTTTTAAATTGGAATAAAATGTTCTAATTTTGTTTTCCATTCAGAATACGAATCATATGGCAAGCAATTGGAAGTCGACTCAATGTCACACACGTTAGATTTTGTCTATTTTTTTAATAAGCCAAGTCAGTTCTAGCAAGAGGTGAATGCTTCAGAACACCAGAACAGGTGATGGCGATCCGGGCTGTCTGCCGGTCCCTCGTCTCTCGTTCTTCCTCTAAATCTCTTCCTCTCTTCTCCCCCCCCCCCTCTCCCTCCCTCTCGGAGAGCGATGCCGCTCGCTCCCGCAGCCATGCGAGATGGAATGCGGTGAGTGTTCCGCGGTCACGCCTTGTCTGTTCCTGACAGCCGCGGGTTAAAGAGATTACATCGGGGTCTGTGTCAGCAGCATCTGCCAGGCCCAGCTCTCAGTGTAACATAATGACGGAGGATATGCTTGGTCTGCTGGAAAAAGAGACTGCTGTTTTAGGCATTCTTCACCGATGGCTATTGGAAATAAATAGCGTGTTGCTACTGGATGTCAGGGGAGACCGAGTTTAATTGAGATGGTGGCTTTTTTTATTTAGCGAGCAGAGCAGGCGACAGAAGCGCACAGGACGTGGGCAAGGGCGAAGCTCCTGCTCCTGGGATGCTGCCCTGTTATAGAAGTAATCAGCATTAACACATGCCCGCCGCAGAGCTGCCGATACCCCTGCACCTACACGTGTACATAAAGCTGTACTGTTCCCCGGAAGAAAGGCACCGCTTTCGTGGTCCACTCTGAACCGATGGTAGGAGAAGCTGAATTTGGCTCACTGAGTGTTTTCCTACATTTAGTAGCATGAATAGCTGTGTCTACATCTAAATAACTGAAGTGCTTTCAATTACACAGATGTGCCAATTGTAAGTAATTTATTCATCTCACAGCCTGTGTAGGAAGAGCTGAATAAACTTCCTGCCTTGCTCATCAAAACTAAATTCATTTAGACCTGTGCACTATAGCAAAGGATATGGTAGCCCCCCCATCATTTAAAAGCGAAAGAATGGAGAAACTAGACAAATCTGTATTTACTCATGTACAGAAGAATCCTCTGAGGATTCTGCAGCCGCTGCGATTTGCTCTGGTCAGCGGAGGTGTTTTGAACCCGTGTACAAAACCTAGGGAGATAATTGCGTTAATTAATGAGGTGAGGGGAGAGGTACAGATTGGGAAAGTATCGCATTCCCTTTAATTAGACGCCGCAGGAGCAGTTGATGCGGGTGCCCTTCGCTCCCAGCCGTGCTAAGAGGTAATTCCTACTTCAGGATGACATGCCTGGAGCGAGCAGCCGAGAGGAAAGGGGTTTTAAGCTGACAATAAGGACTTTGGAGGAATGTAGAGGATTAGGCAGCTTAATGTGCCGTGAAGAAATTTATCATTGCTGACAATTCTCACAGTAGTTAGACAAACAGTGGAGACCGCATGGTCTCAGTACAGTGCACTGCGCAGCTTCTCAAACACATAAGCAAACACTGTCATATAATCATGTACCGGGCCGCTCTCGCTCCTCAGAGCTGCCAGTCTTTCACGCGGAGAGCAGGCTATCCTCTCATCTCCACCCAAAACACAACCAGCCACATCCGGGAATTTTAACAGGTGCTCTGATCCAGATGGGCTGTTGAAGACCGTGAAAGAAACGTTAGTTAGACTTCCTTAAGCACACGGTGCCTTTGTGAAATGATATTTCACAGTTAAACATAAGGATATTAATATTTGTACTTGAAATAATCAAATAATGTTCACATCTCGTAATTTCATGAAAGCTCCTTTTGCGAGCCGGTGGTTTTACTTGTGTTGGTGTTTATTGCCTTGTTGGCTGTTGTTAATATTCCCAAGGCTGGCGTAAAATTAAGGATTTTTAATTCAGTCCGAAATGGCCTTCACTGTTACTCCTTGTTCTAAGACATTATAAATGTTCATTTTTGTCAGTATAAACCTCAAGATTCGTGCTTGCGTTAATTATCCAAAAGCGGCAATAGCTTTGAAAGAGTGGTTTGAGATGTATTGGGTTTTCATTTTCTCTTCTGTACAAAACAGGTAAATTAAAATGCACCGCGCAGCCTTAGCGAGGAGATGGCCGAGTTATCTGCGGACGTTCAGTTTCAATCTGCTTCAATTAGCTGTCAAGGCTGTGGCTGCGTGCGAACGGAGCAGTTTTAAAAGAACAAGATAAATATTACCCCACTTCTAGTCCGCTGATGAAAAGGACTAAAAGGACACTGTCAGTTTTTTTAGAGGAGTTAATCAGGCTCCATGTGAGCATTGATGAGGTTATGGTTTTAAAGTTCAGCGGGGAGTTTCGTGACCTTTCTGGTAGATCATGTGTGAGTCCGCTGTCAGTGGAGTGTGTCTTATTAGTGCATCCGGAAGTCTAAATCAATCATGCATGTTCTGAAACTATTAACAGCAAAGATTAATTCAACTATATCTTCTTATTTTTTAGAGCTTTCAACAGTACGGGTTTAAACGTATGCCTGCTTATTTATAATCTCTTCGATTTCATAAATACGTAGTTTCATCTTACCACCTATTTCTGATGGAGTCTAGATAAGCGCAGCAGGATCTATCGAGAAGTCTAACAAATTAGATAGGTCTGATAAACTATGGTAACATTCCCATCACGTGGTAGTTTAACATTTTTTTTTGACGTGTCGATTTTTTCCCCACGCCTTACGTCGCAAGCAGGACAATGTCATTTTTAGGATTCAGCTTGGAAAAGGTTAAGTTGATTCGTCTGTTAGGGCAGGAGTTTTGCTGTGACTTTCTGGTGGCTTCCTACCAACAAGCTCTGTGTTGGCCACCCGGGAGCCGGAAGCCCGTTAACAGCTTTCTCTGTCCAGTGTTATATAAGCTGTGGCGTATTATTCTCTCTCAGCTGACGTTTTGCATTGACGGCGGACTTGAAGCTGTCAGGAGCTGAAATGGAAGACGGCAAAATGCGTCAAGGCGTTTCTTGTTTATTATAGCAATAGACCGAACTGCAATATCAGGGGTGACTTTCGAAGAACACAATTAGAGCAGATGTCCTCAAAAGTCTGAGACAGAGAGGTGTTGAGACATCCGAATAAGGCTCCACAGCCGAAACGCTGTTTCTTCTTAATGTAGACCTTGAACCACAAGCACCAGAAAAAAAAAAACAAGCAGCAATAGAATCGTTTTAAAGGGTTGAATGTTGGTTATTTCCTTTTCAATGATCTGATAAAATAATGCTATATATTTTTTAAACTGGCTGTTAATAATCCCATTTCTAATTCCATAGCTACTAACAGTGATGAAACCAAATATGTAGGTTTTTTTATTTCACATATCGGAGGGGGAAAAAGGTTTTTAGAACAAGCTGCACGTCCTCTTAAACGATAAGAAAACATACTTCAACTCATCTTTGCCTGCTCAATTTTACCAGCTGTATCCCCCCCGAGTTGTTACTGGCAATTATGTTTTCGATCTAATTGACACTGAAATTGATATTGTTTGTTGTAAAGTTCCGAAACGGAACCCAAGATGAGATCTTGAAGACATTTTTCAACTCGTCAGAATCCGACGGTACCCAGTGCTGCTCAGCAGTTCTGTGATGTCCCTTGTCTTAATGCCCCGTTAATATTATTTAACCCGACTGGGCGCTTAGCCATTCCACTCGGTACAATGGGAATACCAGACCGTACTGAAATCGCGTCTTCATTTGCATTGCGGGTCCAAAAATCATGCAGATCTTAATGAGACTGTCTCCATTGTTGCGGTAATTGAAAAACCATTCTTCGTTAATTACTGCAACTCAACGGCCTTGTCCGTGGTCAGCGGAGTGAGACAAAAATAGGTTATTGATGTCTGGAGCTTCAGTGCGGTTTAAAAGTACATTTAATGTGATGTTTTACCGTCCTGCGTAATAACCTCGCAGTCGTTACCTTCCCGGATGAAATTTCCACAGCTTCTCGCATATTATATTTACAATGTATTTGTGTAAAGTATTTTATTATTATTATTATTATTATTATTATTATTATTGCACCGATAGCCAGCTGTAGGTTCAAATCCCGGGAGAGACTCAGCTGTTGGAGCCTTGATCAAGGAAAACAGTTCATCTAAACTGTTGCTGTAAAATACCCAGCTGTAAGAATAGGTGCAGAAGGAGTTCGGTTTGGATAAAAAACAGCAGCCCAGTAAATTAGTAATCACAGTTATCGTGGTCCGCTGCGGTGATATGATGAGCACTGCTCTGCTGGGCACTTGCTGAAATGTTCAGAAAATGATACACTATCTTTTTTTTCGTTTTTCGTGCTACTGCTCGATATTTCTCGAGGTTTATTCTTGAACGTCTTTAGCTTTGACGTGAAATGCAGCCCATTCTAACCCTGTTGACCCCAGTGCCGGTGATGCACCCTGGAAGTGCTTTTTGCACTGACCCCTTGAGCGCCGTCACACTTTGAATAGCTCCAATTTTTTAAGCAATGAGGTGGGTTTTCACATAAGGCGATGTTAAGAATCCCGGTCGTTTCATTTCATCGCTATTGTCGGTCTCCCACCTATTGTCAGCTCTGTAAAGCTAATTTCTTACCGATCGAAAGCCTTATACCATGAAAACCTATCTGTTCCACATCACCCAGCCCCCTCTTGCTCCGCACTGCACACCAACTCTCAAGGTTTATTTGTAGGAACTGCCATTTCATTTTCAAAATGAAAGAAAAAACGCATTCGCGGTGCCTGTGTGTCAATTAATGTAGAATAAATTCTGATTCACAGCAAAGGCTTTTTGTAAACTGCGTTGCTCATAATATGTTGTGAGGCTGCTTGTTGCGGTAGAATGTCTCTATTACCATAGGCGCCTATTTGGAAGAGTATGAACAACGTGCTTCGCTCTAATTTGCCTTTAATGAATTGTTTATTAGCTGCTAATTAACAAGTTAGATTGGTGAAATTATGCCGCTGATTACCCTAATAAATGATGACCGCCGCCGAGTAGCTGTGAAGTGCGCTACCGAATTATTTGTGGTGTTTTTGTTTCTCATGAAAATTAATCAGACAAATGGTTTTGTTCGGAAATATTACAAGGGAAAATACGATTTAAATAATAAAGCAAAAAATAGCAGCTTTTAAAACACGACCCGTTCTGTTCAATGTATGAGCTTGTTTCCTTAAATAATTAGGTTAGTCTTTCCTCGTGAATCTTCATTTTCTGCACGTCATTTGAAAAAAAAAATGTTTACATTTAAAGTAACTCAACTATTACAATTATTAGCAACAGCAATAACGTACAATTTAAGTAAGAGGGTCTGTGTCTTTTGGACAAACAGACGGCAATCGACATTATTCGGTTATTGAAGTGATGAATTTTTCGGGGTTGAATAAAATTGTAATTATATCTGGAAGCAAAATAAAATGTGAAACACATGCGTAATTTTATTTTATTTTAGTGATTTTACATTTGCTGCTTTACATAATAATATATAGGAACAAGTAATAGGTTTATTCCATGCTGAAAAAAAGAAGAAAGAGAACACAACGTTTCGGCCGTGGAGCCTTCTTCAGGTGTGCATTGAATTATCTATATATAATAATATATAGATAATTCAAATCATATGGAGAACTACATACTATGAATTCTAGCATGGAGGCCGAATCTGAACATTTTAAATAAAATACAGTTTCAAGCTACATTGTGTTCTTCCTGGCTTCCTTCTGGGTATTTCCGAGTAGCACTTTGTGACAGTAAAGATCTACATAGATACAGTATCTAGAAGCTTGGCGCTCTTTAAAACAAAACGCGTTTAAACGTTATAAACTCAACGCGTGCACTGACAGTATTCTTCTTTTTCATAAATGGAAACGATCACGAAAAAGTTTTTTTTGTGTTTGACAAAGTCGAAGATGTGGCTCATGATGAATTATAAACTCTCCTTGCCGCCGTGTTTCTAAGCCATACCTATGACCGACGCTTAGTTTCGGAAGCTCGATAGCCCTTCAGCACTGAGTGCCGGGCTGTGCAGGTGGTCTGTGCCCTCTGTCCCCGTTAATTAGGAAACCTGGTGCAGCGCGATCCTCATTAACAAAAACCCCGAGTAGGTTCTAGTTTTCCTTTCCCGCTGTTGGGTCTATTTCCATAAGGAGATTACAAGGGGATCAGCGCCTCGGATCTACCCCCCGATAAACAAATCTGTGGTCGCGCAGAATTAGTAGGGTTGAGACAGCTACTAATTAGAAGTTTAGCTCCCGTATCTGGAGCCGTTGATAGCGGCCCAAAGACTTGTGCATTGAGTCTTTCACTGGCGCCCGAGGGGGCCAGCTTGTCTCTGCCAGTTGTTAATTTAACACTGAGATTCCATTTTACATTCAGGAGACGCGTCTTTAAAACAATCAGCCAGCGGAGTCTCTCACTCGTACGCGAGGGCTACTGGGTGAGAAAAGTGGTGTAGCCTGCATGTATAGATATTGCATTAATTAAGATTGAGTCTAAAATGCTTTCCTGTATTATGAACGAATATATATGATGTCCATTTTGATGAAGATATGTCTAAAACCAGAAGTCAAGACATCGCTTTCTCGGCACATCAACGAGTAATTCATGTGTGTCGGAGAACAGCCGCCCGCAAATCTAAGCTGTTTTTAAACGATTTGAAATTGTTTAAAGGGAAAAAAAGAACCGATTCCGTTCCTGTAATTCAAAATCTTCCACTCGCCCATTTGTGAATAGCGGAGATGATCTTAAGTGGTCACATCACAGACACGGAGAACATGTTTCGCAGCCTGGTGGTACTGCCTTTTATATTAGTGCTTTCCTGAACAAGACTCGAACGGAAGATCCGTGAAGTTATTTTGTCTTCTTACAATATTCGACGTCGACAACGTACAGTTTAGAGTTATATTGCTCCCACTTCGCTGTTGGTTTATTAGGCAGTAGAAGTAGATTCTTCTAGGATTCAGAAATCGAAAAGATGCACACGGACACGTTCCGTGCCTCTTGTATGTCTCCGTGGGCACATACAAGAGATTTTAGATTCAAAGCAGTTTGGACACTTCAGTTTGTGAAGTCAGACTATTGCTGATAAAATGTGTTAGAACCAGAAACCCGAGGCGAATCGTATCAATGAGGCACAAGCTTTGCTTGCTTTTTAATTTGCAGGACAATCTGCCTTAACTTTCATTTTTCTCAGCCTGCAGACGATCATTTAATAAAGACTTGTATCAGTGGAAGACTACAGCAGACTGCTACAAGGATTTACGAGCGAGTTTCGTCGTGTTAAAAAAGAAGAGGGTCAGATGCCGCAGTTTGTGCTTCAGAGCGGTTTACAGAGATTTTGGGGAGATTGTGTTCTGGTTGTTTTCTCAATGCTCGTAGATCAGGGGTTGTTAAACCTTGTTCTCACTTCGCAGAGCTGTGACGCGCTGAGGGTGTTCGCGGGTTGATGGGGCTAATGGAAAGTGCAGTGCTGGAAACATTAGCAGGTGAAAACAGTAAGAAGCTCAATCGTAAATCTCACGCAGGCCGTAGTTATCAGCTGCCTGAGGCATCGGTAAACGCATCGTCCGTCATCAGCAAAGCCGTCCAACTGCACACGGTCGGAACAGCCCTACCGCGCTCGCACTGCTAGAGAAACAAACACAAACCCGAGAGTACTACAGCTTCTCGTCCCGCTCGTAACGTCTGCGCAAGACGAAGAATTGGGTTGTGATTGTGGGCAACCTGTAGAGACGAGATGGCGGGATTCTCGCGGAGAGACCCTTGAAAAGACCGGCTCCTTACCCGAAGTCGCTTCAGGCTTTCCCTGCAGGAGATCGGCCAAGAGTGTTTGTATGCAAGGCCAAGGAGAAAGTGGGCACAGTATCTGGGGGACACGGTGTCCCGGCTCTGAGGACAAACGTGAAATGTTGATCGCTTGTCTGAAGAGACCGCGCACGCAGAACACCACTGAGTTTCGGGTTTAACCGACTGATAGAGCCGGATGCTCATTTAACCACAAGGGGGCGGCAACGCATTAGTTCTCAAAGCTGCGAGCGGCAGAGCACTTGCTGAAGTATCTCATTTCTCCACCGGAGTCATTCAGGACCCTCCGGTGGGTGGCAGTTCTTAGGGATTTCGGGTGTCTTTAAAACATCAGTCTTGAGAAAACTGGAGGATTCTGATATTTATTGCAGCATGGGTATTCGTAGCTCAATGGAATTGTTGTTCTGATTAGAAATTAGTTGTATTCGATTCAAAATTCTTAATGCGTCCCCGGGGGACCATATCCTGGTGTCTAACCATTGTGAGATGTTACCTTAAATTCCACTGTATTGCTTCCAAGCCCATACGTATATAAGGAAGTTTGAAAACGATACTAAGCCGTTTGGGTCTTCTTGGTCGTTTGGTTTGATCAATCCCATCCCTATTTATTGAAAGAAATCAGAGTATCGGCATCGACAACACAGCTGGGCATCCTGTTCCCCACTCCCGCTAACCTTTGTGTAAAACAGTGCCCCGCCGTTCTGTATTGATCCCACCCCCTCTAAATTCCCGTTTGTGTCCCCTGTTTCGTGTGACGTATCGGCCGTAAGAGAGAAACAGTACTTTTACACCACTGATACAAAGTATAAGTCATAACGTTTTGGAAAGATTGAGGGTTTTTCCGTTCGGGTTACAGATAAAGCCTCTCCTAGAAATGTCACCTGGCAGATCTTTTCATAGCCGTGAGCTCGTGCTTAAGAAGTGTAGGTGTACTTCACGTATCGCTTCTATCTCTGCTCTAGATTGCGAACAGTCACTGATGGCCCAAATCTACATTCGGAGTATTTTTTCGTGTCATTCTGGTAACTAAAAGTAGGCCAGCTACTTCAAATTGTGCGGTCGTGAATTATTTTATTAATCTCTTTAGAATATCTAAACTGAGTTAAACGACCCGCCGGATAATATCTTTGTTTTTGTTTTTTGTTTTGTTTCTGCATTTGCCATCGATTGATTCAGGTGGCTCGTGACCGTGAGTTAAGAGGGAGTCTCGTGACTTTAAGGCTAGCGCAGGTGTGCGATGGGGGAGGGGTACCAGGTGGGCTCGTAACCAATCCGATCTCCCAGGGAAGTGTGCGCCCATTGGCTGATTCGGTTGTCTAGGCGATATGACCACGCCTCTCCTCTTCGCGGCTGCCCAGCAGTTCTTCAGGGTAGTTTTCAGTTTGTTCCTGAATTAGCAGTGGATGTAATTTTAAACACCTTTGAGCATTTTCCTTCTTATGAAACTTAATGTAAGAACGTATTTTTGTGGAAAAGAAAAATAATTCGTTCACCCTTCCTTGCTCCAGCCCAAAGCAGAAATGCATGTATTTTCGCTGGCACAACTGTAAGAACGTCATGCTGAATTGGATGACTTTGTATAAACCGTCTTTTAATTTCTCTAGATAAAAGTAAACAGTTGGTTGCCCAAAAGGCGGGCAGCGATGCCCAATCGACGTTCTCACTAATAGTTTGAGGACTTACTACCAATCACATCGTTGTTTTGATTGGCAGTCCTACCCAGGTTAATTAATCGTTATCGCTCCCGAATAGGCTACATATTTCACAGGTTGTTTTAACAAACACATCCGAACAGATATACGATATCTCCATCAAAGTGGCTGTAAAATTTACCTACATAATGTTGTCAAACGCTTACACACATCCGAAATGATTTTTAAACGATTTGACGATTTTGGCGGGGTTTTTAATATTATATAAGGTCATACATCTCATGACGGGTAACGTATTGATTAAAATGTCTGCTTTTCGGGTATGGAATTAACATTTATTATTTTAATCACAATGAAAACCCGCATAACTACGAAATAAAATGTACGCGATCAAACGATTATAAGGATCAACGGGAAAAGCTTCGTTTGACTCACCGAGTCTCAAATTGCACTTCATCAAGCGAGCTACACACGCCTGCAGCAATAAGACTGTGGTCGCAGAACAAAAAGTGAGTGTTTCGGAGCAGTTCTTTTTCAGATGCGCTTGTTTTTCGGTTATTTTATTTTTGGTAACTTCTGCCCAAGCGGAGGACTGGCTAATCAGCTCATAGGTTTGGATTGGGGCTCGCCGGGGCCGGCTCTGATTGGGCGCGACGCGTCTCATTGTTAAGCTGTCAATCTAAATCACATGGAGAGGCCGCTATTAACAGCTGAGGTCGGTGAATAACTTTTCAGAGTTCTCTCTGGGAGCAGTGCGAGAGGCGGCGAGCAGGCAGGCAGGACCGCACTAACTCGAAGGCAAGCGCTTGGTGGGATAGCCGCTTCTCCAGCTCTCCTGTGCACGACCACTACCCTCTGCGTTTTATTCTTTTTTTTTCTCCCTCCCGCCTCCCCTTTGTGTTTTCTCGGAGAGAGGAGATCGCTCCGACACAGCCGGTTGAATGTATAGCATGATGGAAACCGAGATTAAAACCCCGCTCCCGCCGCCCAACTCGGGCTCGGCGGCGGGGACCAACGGCGGCAAAAACGGCGGCAGCACCAACGACCAGGACCGGGTCAAGAGGCCCATGAACGCCTTCATGGTGTGGTCCCGGGGCCAGCGGAGGAAAATGGCTCAGGAAAACCCCAAGATGCACAACTCGGAGATCAGCAAGCGTTTGGGCGCAGACTGGAAACTGTTGACCGACGCCGAGAAGCGACCTTTCATCGACGAGGCCAAGCGTCTGAGAGCCATGCACATGAAAGAGCACCCGGATTACAAATACCGACCCCGCAGGAAGACCAAGACCCTGCTCAAGAAAGACAAGTACTCTCTGCCCGGCGGGCTGCTGGCGCCGGGTGGCAACGCCGTCAACAACGCCGTGTCCGCGGCCCAGCGGATGGACAGCTACGCTCACATGAACGGCTGGAGCAACACCGCGTACTCTCTCATGCAGGACCAGTTGGGCTACCCGCAGCACCCGAGCATGAACAGCCCCCAGATCCAGCAGATGCACCGCTACGAGATGGCGGGGCTCCAGTACAACCCCATGATGTCCAGCGCCCAGACCTACATGAACGCCGCCTCCACCTACAGCATGTCCCCGGCTTACACCCAGCAGACCTCCAGCGGCATGGGGCTGGGCACCATGGCGTCCGTGTGCAAGACCGAGCCCAGCTCGCCCCCGCCGGCCATCACTTCCCACTCCCAAAGAGCGTGCCTGGGTGACCTGCGGGATATGATAAGCATGTACCTCCCGCCGGGGGGAGACGGAGCGGATCACGCCACGCTGCAGAGCTCCCGGTTACACGGCGTGCACCAGCACTATCAGAGCGCTGGGACTGGCGTGAACGGAACGCTACCCCTCACCCACATCTGAAGAGACTCCGGCCTTTTTAAGTACTTCGGATACTTGAACGTTTTGATCTGGCAAAACTGGGGGGGGGGTGGGAGGCAAGCGGAAAAAAAGAGACAAATCTGTTTGTTTGTTGTTTTTTTTAAAAAATGAAATGTAATTATTTTTTCTTCGTAAAGCGAACTGTCCGTTGCAAAGCGCTTTTGAAGAAGACGTATCCAGCGGACTGGACTCGCTGCTTGAGCCCGGCAGAGCTGAAAAGTTTCTTCTGCAGGCGGGCTTTCGCGCCAGCACGGAGGCAGTGGAGTTCTGTAGAAGCACCGGACTTCTTTCTTTCTTTAAAAAAAAAAATGCCAACTTCTTTTTTTTTTTCCCTCCTAAAGGGGGGAAAAAATGCGTGTTGCTTCAGAAAGAGGCGAATTTTATTCTAGTAAACCAGAACGGAAAGAACCCTCGCAAGTAAATGTTTACAGTTAATTTGTAGAATGTCAAAATTCGTGCCGGCGTTGTCGAAACCGTGTAGGATTTTTTTTATTGTTTTAAATGGAGTTATTAGGTTTTAATGACAAAAGACTGTGCGGGTCGCAAGCGCAAGTTTATTTATAGTAAGTCGGTTTTGTTCTTTTTAAGCTTGTGAACATGTAAGTTTTGTATTCCTTTTTGGTTTGTGACGTTTTCACTGTGATATGTTTTTGGCAATATCAGGTTAATCTATATCACGGGCGGAAAGATTTATTTAAACTGACGTTTCTACAGATTTTAAGATCACTCTATTCCAAAAGGATAAATAAATTTGTACAAAACATACCCAATGACTCGGGTTTCATTTCTTGAGATTTCTTGCTCGGGTCTGTCATGTTGTCCGCAGTAGAAGACTTGTCCGAGTACCAGTACCTGACCCGTGTCTTGTGCTCTCATTATCCCCATCTGACAGACGCGGGCCCGACAGCAGAAAGCGCTTTGAAGGGAAAAAATAATCGAAATTTTATCCGGGTTTTAGTAACTGCTGTAAAAAATTGGTTAAGGGTTAACGTGGTGGGGGAAAACAACCTGTTGATTATCTCGTACGATGTGTCAGTTTAAGTGTGACAAATTACAAGTCGCAACAACACGCGCGCTTTTAATTAATCTTGTGGATCTTGAGTCCGTAGACGGGGTTTAAAAACAAAATACTTCTCAGAACATTTACGATACCAACTACAACTGCTCCAGATGGGAACGGTCTGTTGGCCCCTGCAGACCTGAAATTCGACATGTTTTCTGTGTATTGGGGCGTAAGGGAGTTTAAAACGCCAAGTGGTTAATTGTTTTATTGGAACTCTTTCACGGGCCGTTCCTTGTGATCCACCGTTTCGACAGCGTTTATTACAATTCCGTAGCTGGAGATCTGCCACTCGAATTCTACAGTAAATTTTAAGCGGCTTCTTATCAAACGTATCGGCTGTATGTTGATGTTCAGTTAAAAAAGCATGTAATCGTAAATCTCGCAAGTAGGTGACCATAACTCAATTTTCTTTTTTTTAAAACGTGTTCCTCTGGTCTTCCTTAGCGCTCCGGGGCAAATCTTGCCCTCCCATTGTCTTGCTTAGACTTTATTTGGGGAAAAAACGGCGCCCTCGGTTAAGTTGAAGTAGATTTTGAAATGCTTTGCTATTCATATACAACCTTTATGTGTAGCAATGCATTGAATACGCCTCACGGGTCAACGTGTTTAGTTTTGGAAGGTTGTATAACATTTCCCTGATCCTTTTTATTTTTTCGTCCCGATTTTTAATATTTAAACTGGTCATTTGGGGAAAAGAACTACCTATAGCCTCTAGCGCGGGGCTTACGAAGAACTAAAAGACACTGTTTAAGGGTCACTAAAGAAGCTGCAGTCTTCACGCAGAAGCTTACAAACCTCCAGCAATCGTATTATGCAATTTTGTGCAAGGCAGGGCCTACGTTTCTATCCGCTTTTGGCGTCCGCAAATCATTAGGTAAAATAAATGTACTCTTCAGTACGGTAGCCTGGATTCAATGTGACGTGATTGATGGCTGACTGCGGGGTTGTCCATTTTAAAACAATCGGTCGAACCCGCGGAAATGTAGTGTAAAAGCGTTTTACTGGAATAAGAAAGGCCGAGGCGCCATAGCCGGTACCTTCAGGCCCCATGAAGACAGTTGGTACATTATAAGCCTTCATCAACAACGTGGGTGGAAGGACGTTGCTTCTGAAGTTGGCCTTTCTCTGCAGAATTGGGGGGGGGGGGTCGTCAGGCTGTTAAATCCAGCTGATCTTCAGGGCTGCGCTCACCTGCTCAGGTATAATTGAGAAACAGCTTCCAGCTGTTGCATAAGGACTTAAGATGAACTGATTTAACTGTTTGACGGTAGCGCCACACAATCATCTATACAATGCAAAAAAGTGGAATTGAGATCATTCGTATCTTATGCCTTAATAGATACCCTATGCGTGTGTATTTTCCCTTCTCAGCAAAATTGCGTGTGACGTCGGTCAGACTCTTAAATTCAGTTTTTGCTTTGGCCTTACTTAACATCTTCATCCAGCCCATTTGAAGGTATCGTGTCTCACACTTCAGGTATCTTGGTCTCCAGTAACCCTATACCTCATGCGACACGAACGTGCTTTGGTTAAAGCTTAAACTTTTCTATTAAGTTCACTTGTATTTTTTTTTTCCATTTTCCAGCCTCAAAATATCGGGCGGGGGTGCGAATCTGATCGCCCACTCGTGCTTTCGCGCTGTGATGAAGTGAGGTTTCACCAGCAGGGAAGCGCCGGGCTCTACAGCAGCCAGGTGCGCTCTGGTGAATTTGACTCCACGAACCAGCTACGGGCTCCTGCGGTCCGGTAAAGGGCTATAATTTCCACTTTCACGTTACTCCTGTGTCCATTTTTCTCCAATTAAAAAACGTTTTTAGCACCAATCAAGTAGTTAAATACTTCTGTAGGTTACTACAAGCGTTGATATAAATTGAAAAGTAGGTATAACCCATGAATTAATTCAACCTCGTATTAAATGTTTTGCGTAAAGACACATTTTTTGAGGGGGAGGTGTCATTAAATTTAATAGTCCTGGTGATGACAACCAGTTAAAACCTCCAGGTGTTTGTTTATTTGTGCGTTATCCTCTCCTCTTTGCTAACAACAGCAGTAAAGGCTTGTAAGTCTTGTAGCTGGCGAGTGGCAGGCAGGTAAAACAAACCTGTCCCTGAGACAGTGAGCCCGATTAAACCGGGGACTTGTTTTGTCATTTCTGTTTTTATAGTCCTTTCGAAAAAGTGACGCGAAAAACTCCACTGAGCAGAGCGATCTGGGGTTAGATTCCCCTTTGAGAAAGACGTCAACAAAGCCTTAATCTTGGGTGACGATAAAGACAGCGTGGACATGTGGGGATCCAAAATTCCACCGAGACGCTCTGAGACAGAAGAAGATCATCCAGTTAAAAGCGATGGCGTTGGATACAACTGGTTACTGAGATCGGAATGAAAAGAAGGTGTAATCCAGTTTTGAACAAAACCACGCTTTTATTTAAAATGGTGAGGCCGAATTTACATTTATGGAGCGTCTTTTCGGCGGGAGGTTTATGTTGTAGTTGACACGTCTGGTAGCTGAAGACTTCAGCACAGAGCATGTAGGACCTTCACAAACTTCATATACACCTGCCTTTATTAAAATATAAGGGTTTGTAAACTGGGTAATGGAGTTTTACATATTTGAAATACCCCAATAGGATAAATAGCGAAAATGAATTTGCCATAAAGTGTTTCCTAACTTACCACCGAATTGTTGCACGGAAACGGACACCGGTTGGGCCTGTATTAGCAACACGCGGACTCTTGGAGGACAGGGACAGAAAGATACCTGTTACAGAGCGCGTTTAGCACGCACCATTTCTTAGTTCCCTCTTTCTTTTTCTTATAATCCCACATTGAAACAGCAAGCTGACTTGTCACCGCTTTAATAAACGGAGCACGTTCGTCTCGGACCTCTGGAAACTGCACGATCTTGCTTTCTGAACAGAATTTTAGGCTCTCCGAGGGTATTTCTTACGAGCTGACGCTAAAGCTGAGCTATAAAGAACTTTTAAAATCTCCCGTGTGTCTTCTTCGAGTTTTATATGTTGTAATTTTCCTATTCACAATGTGGGTGCATGCTGTTTCAAGATGATCGTTTTGATCTTTCTGCGATTAACCTGTACAATAACGTCGGCTGTCTCAACACAATCCAGAAAGTATTCAATCTCAATGCCTTTGCACCACTAAGCTATTTCCTCAATATACCATGGGTGATTCCACTACCAGGCATAACATGTAGATAAATTAAATTTGGGAATAATTCTTACTTAATATTTTAAGTAATCTGGTTATTGTGAAAGAATTTCATATGAGCGACGTTTTTCCATAGAAAGTGCGCATTTCCTGTAGTAACCGTCCTAATCTTTAACAAATATTATTAATCCCAGAAATCCTAGGAAGAGTTTTGTTTAGAATACCAAATAAAAAAGACAAAGCCCTACAGCATAAAGTAACCCCCCCCGTAAATATCCTGACTCATTCATGTTAACCTGTACCTCGGTTCGTTGTAACATCTGTTTACGTTTTAATGCCAGCTGATGGAGTTGAAAGTGATTTAATGTCCATATTTCTAACTTGAATTCAAGAGACCAGCTGCAACACGTCAAGATAAAAAATAATCATCCTTATTGTACTTCTCAGTCCTTCTTCAACTGCCATGTGACGATTTGTTGTTTCATTGTGCAAGATAGTGTCGGCAGAACCGGACCTTCAGAGATGATTAGGCTCATCGTCTCGGAAGAAGACAAAGGGATGCTACTGGCTTTTCTAGAGAATTTAAAGGAATCGTGGCATTTAGTTGAATGCATGTTACACAAGTTGATTTAAATTAAATGAATGCTATGCCGACATAAAGAAAAAAAATGTATTTATGGATAGTATGTATTGAGTCAAAATGCTTTTTTTTCCTTTTTGAGAAGGGAGCTCCAATGGCAAAGGCAGACGGTCATAATTGAGCGCACCCTTCTCCAGACTAGCTCCCGCATGAGCTCCTTTCAAACTTTGGTTTTCGACTGTAGGCTTCAAAATGAAACATCTAACAGAAGAGGCTGGTTGCCGAACAAAATCTTTTCCTTTATGTTTTTCCACAATGAAAGTTTGGAAGATTGCCTGTGTGTGCATACCACAACAATGGTGATGATGATAATAATAATAATACACCACAGGTACGTAAGCAGGGACTGTAAAATGTGTCCTGTCATGCAAGTATAAAAGCGGTGAAAATGACATACCTTGTAGGAAGAGACGCTTCTTCACTCACCTCATTCCCTCTCGGCAGGAGGCATGCAGCATGCTGGTAGCTGCAAGGCACCCTGGGATTGCTTTGACCACCATGAGGGCAAGTGCAGTGGCCTGCCTGCCTTCCCACAGCCACAGTTGCTGTTTGACCCATTGCTCAGGGGGGCAGAGGGCTCAGCACGGAGATTAGCTCTGCACACCTTTGTGCAAAGGGATTAGCTCAGCTCTCACTTATTATGGCCACCAACAGCAGTACAGCTTAAGGAACTCTGTAGTTTTTCCTGGTTTTAAACAGCTTCGCCTCCCAGGGCTCCACAGTTGTTTTTTTTTTTTACATTTTAGTGGTTGGTGGCCTTTGTATTGTCACTGTTCTGTGCCGGTGCTCATGAGAGAAATAAAATCCTGGCATCCGTGAAGTGGTTTTATAGGAGGGAAGGGAAAAAACCAGTAAAATTACGACAGAGTTTCAGGTGACTTTCTTTTTTGGATGAATGTTTAAAGTTAACCAGGAAGGGTGGGCTGCAGTCCCTACTGGAGGCCATGGCGATGAAGACTGCTGGCTACAACACTCTTCTGTAGTTACTAGGTCAAGCTGCGCGATGATGACCTTCTTTTTAAAGATAAACATTTTATCTTTGTAGTCATAGTTTATCTTTTTATCGTAGTAACAAAGATGATTAAGTCTTTGGACGGTAGTCACAAAGCTGTTGTTTTACAAACTGAATGTTTTCTTTTCCAAATCATCGCAGAGGAAGAAGAACCTTCATTGCCAAAAAAAAATAAATATTTGAGGGCTTTGCGTCACCGTGACTTTTTAGTATACATTTCTTTTGCTGAGTTAGTATAAAACAGCATGGAGATGTTACAGTTGCCATTTTCCATTCTACATGACGCGCATTTATACAGTTGGGTCCAGAACTGGTCTTATACCGACACTGGGATTTAAACCCACAGACCAGAGTCCCTGACTCCACTCCGCCTCTTGAGCTGATGTAGACCTAGGTGATGAAGTTCAGCTGTCCGCCGGACAGGAATGCAGAGCTCCACAAGCGCTGTTAGTTGCTGCTCCAATGGGAGGTCCAGCTGGAATGTTCTACCAGATCTCACCACTTCCACTGCTTAACCAAGGCCAGGCCTCTGTCACGTGATCTTTTTGTGTCCGGCCATGGCTCAGAGCAGCCTGCTTGTCAGCTCTCTGCCTGTTTGCTTAACCCCCGCTTCAAAACATGTGAATCACCTCTCTGTGAAAATTGCTAATGTTGGACTGTGGCATTTTTCACAAATCGCGTGTTTGTCCCAGTGTGCTGCCTCTGGTATTACTGTTAATCCTCACGCACGAGAGGTTGTATCCCTTCAACTCGGTCAGACCAGTTCGGTAAGAATTTGACACACCCCTCCTTTGAAACATGCGTTTTCGGTCACATGAAAGTGTGTTCCTTATCTGAAGAGAGGAGTAAAGTCATTCAGAAAAAGGGTTAGAAGAAAAGGGCTTTATAACGTGGTTTCCTCAGCATAGAAAGACAAGGAAGACTTTTTTTTTTAGTGAGAGAGACGAAGGTATAGCTGTATCTTGACATGTCTCCATCTTGTTTTTGCTGCAAAATACGACTAGGAAGAGAGCTATTGTTGTTGGTGAGTTTTAAGAATTTGATTTAGTCTAAGAGTAGTTAGCTGTTACTGCGGTTTTCGCAGCTTTAATAAAAGATGCTCGTTTCGCAGATTTTTTGTCAGGCCGGCGGGGAGAGAGCAGACAGCTTTGCGTGTGGTATGGTAAACACTTCAGCGCTCGGTGCAGGCCCGCTCGGCCAGCCTAATCCAGGCCCAGCGCGGTCAGGCCCACGCAGGGCCCGGTCGATCCCCTGACAGGGGTGAGGAGGCTAATCTCCCCGAGAGGGGCAGGTGTTGGCAAGCAGTTTGACTCCGGGCTGCCCTTGCCGTGGGAAAATGGGAAGGCAATCTGAGCGACTGCGGGGCTTCGCTCTGACCCCCACACTCGCTCGTCCAGCTCGGATAAAATCGTTTGAAAACTGGGCTCTCCTCTTCCTCCGCTGTTGGGGAAGTAGCTGGTTGCAAGGGCTTGTAGAAGACATTGTGAGTGACGTTTTCAGATGTTTAGATATTAAATGTTATGGTTGTTGAAAGGCGCTGGAGCAGGCTGGATTCCCTTCAAACTTGTGATATTAAATTATGTCCACTGTGAACTTGTAGCGTCTCTGTTTTCTGGTTTTTGGTCCAGCCTGAGAAGTCAATTACTGTCTTTTTCACGATTAGGCATACCTAGCCATAAATAAGCATTTTTTAAACCTAATTAATGAATGAGTAAAAAATGCACTTCATAAAAGTAAAGTTACCTTTTAAACACCTTCAAGCCTGGTCAGAGGTTATCGCAATTATGGTGTTAATGAAATAATTAGACCAGCTCTGTAACGGAGAGCTCAGGTGGACTAGAAACCAGAGAGCACTGAGACTTTCAGAAGCAGAGTTTGACACCCCTGAATTAATGGCAGCTGCAGTTACCCCATACAGATCAGTGGTTCACCACTTGCGTCCTTGGAAACCATAGGGGTTCCTGGTTTTTGCTCCAGCTGAATTCTTGATCTGGTTGACTTGATTGATTTGATAGACGTTTTATATCTCAAGTATATTTTGATTTGCTTTCAGCTCCCCCCCAAAAATCAAATTTGTAACTAGTTTCATCCCTGTACCGGTTTCTGAGTTTCGTAACTTCTTTTATGCAACTGGTTGTCATTCACACCCGTGTCGGCTCATCGTCGACTGGTCTCCTGTGGAGTGTCAACTGGAAGTCAGGGCTAGCAAGTTGAAAAGAGGATGTGTGAAGTTCTGTCTGCTGAACTTGTCGGACTCTATGCCCTTAAATGGGACAAACCCAAGCGTGAACTAAAGTCTGGGCAGGAAAGCAGCTCAAGGCATCCCGTAGTGCCTTAGATTTAGAGCTCAGTTTAGATGATAACCAGCAGACACAGTGGTCCTGCAGGACCTGGGTCAGGAAACACTGATCTACTGTAGGTGTTATCCAGTTGGGTAAGTTAAGAGTGGCAGTGAACGTTCTTCAGACGTTTCCAATCTTGATGTCTTAGTTTGAATGGTCTCTCAATGGAGATCTTGGGCAAGCAGCAGAGCTAGAGATTGTGCTGTTGGATGGTTCAAATGAATGGAAGCTTACAGAAATTAGACCGTCCCAGACCTATGTGTGAGGAAACAGCAGTTCTTCGAAACACTGCAGATATATACGCTTTCTGTGTTAACGTTAGCATTTCTGTTGAATGAGTCAAGGTGTTTCTAGAAGAACTTCAATCAAGCTTTTCAATTGACAGAAAAAAATATTCTAGAATGCTTTGTTTCTTGATTCTTGAAAAGTGCTCATAAAACTGTTGACGTTTTGCGGTATAATGAGTCTTTCAGATAATCACTGAAGAGTGTTAAAAACCTGATGGTCTTTGAAATATGAAGGAAATTTATTTGATAGATAAAGAGATTTAACTTAATGCATTATTCCTTTGTCGCTTAATGCAGAATCTGTATGTCATGTTTCGAGTGAAATTGAAAAATCCCCATAATTCATCATAAAAAGGTTATAAATCAGAAAAGAGCTAGTTTGATCATTATTAGTTAATTGCTCCCAGGATCTCATCCACGTGTTTCTTGAAAGAAACCACAGAACCACTTCAACGTCATGGACGGGTAATTTGTTCCACC